ATACCATTCCAGTTGGATAAAAATCATAAAGTTGATCAAACAAATAGAGGCAGGTAGAATTTCTTTATTTTGTGCTTTTTAAAAAACTTTTAGGGTAAAAAGCAGCTATGGCCCACTGGAACAACCTAAACTTATCAGAGTGGAAGTTCAGCTAAAATGTTTTATTTGCAAAGTTCTGACCTTGAACAGATAATATTTCAGAGCATTTTTTAATGTATCTACTGCAGAGAAGAGTTGGTAATGTAAAACTGCTTTTTTCTGGGCTTGCCTCTGTACTTTCACAGCAAACACTGACAAAACTGGTTCGGGGCTATCGGCCTGAATCAGCTGGTACGCAAAAAGAACCTTATGATTGTTAATAAATTAACTCCGCTCTAGCCAGTGGAAAACCATCTCCACGTGTTCCTTCGTTCAGATAGTAAAGGAGCTCTGTTTACATGAAGTAGAGGATTTATAAAACCACTTTTGACAGGTTAATGTGCTTTGTATTCATGATGGAATGGAGTCACATTGCCTTTGGACATATTTGTCTGTGATTTCTGTTGCCGTGACATGACATGGCATGACTCCAGGCAATGTCACTTTGTGTCAGTCTTACATAACCATGACACAATACTTGTAGATGCATTTGTACTTACAAGAACAGCAACAAAAAAAAAAGGGGGGAATGCAAATACTTCCATTTTAGCATCTTCGTGATGTTGCACTAAGTACCTTATCATCAAAGCCTTTGCTCCCATACTGCAGGCCTACCTGTGACTCCTGTACTTTCCAAATCACCACATGAGGAGGAACCAAACCTCTTTGTGTGGAGTATTTTTCCACTCTAAGTTGAGGAGGTTGTCACTTTTGATTATCTGAAAATCCCTTTTAGAATGTTCGATGAAGCTTAGAGTTAATGCTAATGCATTTAATCCTGAAATATCTCAAATTTGTTGCAAAAGCTTTAGACTGCAGGGAAATCTCTCCATTTTAAATTGAGGATCCCTCTACTGATCTCTCACTTTGCCTTTCCCCCATTTAACGTACAACATTTGGTTTTGCTCTTCTCCCTCCTGAGAAACATTGAACTGAACTCCTTGTGATGTCTGTTTACTAAAAATATGAACATTATGAAACCCCATGGGATTATTATTTCTATTTGGAATGTATTTTCTCAGTGTATCTTTATGAAATTCATTATAATGACAGGAAAAGTCCTAAACTGTCCATTGAATGGATAAACCTCGTATTTGTTGCCAGTCTGTTATGCTCTAAGAACCATTTTTACAACTTTTATCAGCCAATCAAGAACACCAAAACTAGCAGAAAACTGAAAAATGCAGCATGAAAACAAAAAATGCTCAAAAGACATCTCAAACCATGTTTTCAGGGGCACTCACTGAGACAAAACAATGACCACTGCGATTTTAGGGCGAAAGGCCTGTGTCGTCTTTTCTCTGGTGGGTAATTTATGAGACAAGTGTAAGTTATTTACAGTTACTTGTCTTCTAATTAAAATAGTTTAACATCCTGGTATCCAGCATCCTCATATGAGGACATTGCATTTCTCTTTACCATGAAACTTCTTTTTTCTTTCGACTTTGACCTCTTGGCCTCATTGTAGATGCTATCAGACACTACTGTTGAAATCTCAAGTAAAATGGTTTTCTACATTTTCAAGCAAAAATGTTCTTATTGTGTACTTAAAATGTTGTGAATAAGTCATTTGGACAGTCAGAACCAAATTTCAAAGACATTTAATTGAATATATAAACAAAGCTTTTAAATAAAAATAAACCCACTAAGCCAATACGAAGATAAATTACCTGTACCATTACAAAGTCTACTTATTACACTTATTAGGTACTACTAGTCCCATATATCTTGAAAAAAGCTAAAATGCAGACAAAATAAAAGCTTGGGTCTCAAGAGGTTAGCATAGTGACCAAAAAGAAGTTAAGAAGTTACCAACACCAACTAGACACGGTGAGAAAAAAAGGCACAAAGAAAGAGTTATCGGCTGAGGGAATTACCTGAAGGATGCCTCCGTACAAGGCGTGGCCCAAGTTGGTGGCGATATATTCATTTATACTTCAAATGCGCAAAATGTACTTTTCTTTTTTCTTTACATGAAAAAGATCAATCTACTGCCAATAAAGGACGGGCAACAGCCACTAAACCTACTCCATCTTAAACCCGTTGGTTATCCCTCAAAGAAAATCAGTGTCATGATCACAGTTATATGATTCAATATGTGTGTGATCTTTATGATTATTATAAGAATCAATTCTCAGGAATTCAAACTGACTTTCCCGGAACATCCGTGTGGGTTACATGTTCCTGGTGCATCAGCAGGGTTACCTACGGTCTTCAACTTAATTTACAGTAAAATAATGCATCAACACAAGAGGAAGAACATTATTTTTTTTACTGTCTAGTGACAGAACAATGCTTCACCTGGCATGGCATCCTTCAACAGGCAGGCTCACCACTAATGCACTTCCAGAGGAACAACATGCCACTTTGCCATTCTCCAAAGCAGGTCTGGCAAGTGTCCTTGTTAAGTAAAAAGCCAGTATATTTATATACACACATACTCTGTGTGGGATGATTTACGTGAATGTTGAAAAAAGGTGGAAACAGTAAGTCAGGTAATAAAGATTTATTTTCCATATGATGATGAACTGATGAAGAATTTCTTTACTGAAAAATATGACATCAGAATTGATGACAAACATGAAAGACAGTTGACTCCCGGGTAGTTCCTATGAGCAGAATTAAAATTAATCAAAACCCAAGCGTGAGTAAATCCTGGGGTTCTCTGTATCGGTGACGCTGCTACAAAAACTCTTATACTTGGGGGCATGAAGAGGTGGGTTTTATTTAAGTCCCCTTCCTCTGACTTCTATTTGTCACATTTATAGTAGGGGCAGATCTCTTTCAGCTTGACCTTTCAATCATGAATGCAGAGGTTCACTTCAGATCCTATTAGCGAGGCTTTGCATTAACAGTTTTTGTGATGTATTTCTCAGCCACTTACCTCGTTGTTCCCTCCATGAACTTAAGGCAGTGACCACCTGTGACATTAACTGCATGCAATCTGAAACTAGGGGCATGGTTTCATGCAGGGCACATCATTTCACAAAGGCAAAAAGGAGGCCTTAGAAATTATGTTAATGGTGTTTGGCAACCAGTGTGTGCTTAAGAATTTGTTTCAGTGGATGCATAAATGAAAGTATTCTTTTTGCATGCTGATCAGAAGCAATAAAGCTGCAGAAATCAGAAATCTGCAAGAAAAAAAAAGAAAAACATTTATCTGATAGAATGTTTTCCAGTTTGTTAGAGACTGGACTCAATACAGTTGTACTATAAGGTGTGTGTGTGAAAAACATTTTTCATTAATTAAGTCACAACAAATTAAGTTGCAAAACTACTTGATTTTTTTATTCAGTTGTTATTTTCTTCTACTACTCTCAACTTCTGAAGGACAAATTGTTACTTTCTGTGGTGCTTTGAGTTTGCTTTAAACACATTATGTGACATTGTTGGATCACTCTGGCACATGGGCCTGACAGCAGGGATGCTGCAGGTTACCCACCGGCAGTGTGGAGGGGCAGTAAATATCTGACATGATGACATGCCCCCACACAAGTATGTTTGATTCGCTTAAGAGAAGAGGACAAATCTCCATGAACAGAGCTGACGGGCTGTGGGTGATTGAAAAGATTAAGAAACTGACAGACATGTAAACAGCACGGACATTTTTCAGAAAGAAGATGAGTGTATTTGTTTGAAAAATTTGAAAAACTAAGTTATTCAAAGTATTTTCTTTTAAGTTTTAAACACTCTGATGTCCCAAAACCCACTTTCTTCTCTTCTTCATGAAAAATATTCAGGTTTGAGGTTCATTAACATTTACGATGAGAATTTTAAAGACCGAACAAATGGAAGAACCGCAATACGGATAGCTGCTGCTCATGCTGTGTTTTTTTCAACAGCCGCCGGGTCGTTATTTTGAGCCGTGTAACGCTGAGCTGAACACTGAGCTGCAGGCAAATGAAACCCAATCTACAGTATGTTGTGAATAACCGTGCTACAGGTGAACTGGAAAGTCTCTAGTTAACAAGCGCGTTAACACAGCCTTAAGCTATTAACATTCGCCAAACATTCCAGGAGGTGCAGAAGAAATGCATAGCACTAAAAAAACATATAGCCTATGAATGGAACCATAAATGTAAATTTAAGAAGTAAAATCAGTATCTTTTGAGTTTTAAAGCTCCACAGACCAAGCAGCTTTCTCAGAGCACTGTGCATGATGACTAAAGATAAATATCATCTTTACAACGCTGACAGCAAAGGCCTTCAAGTATCTACAGAAATTAGCAGCAATCACAGTGCAGGGTCACACGTTGCTTTAAATCCTTCTCAGTCCGATAATCACTACGAATGCTTCACAGCTTTGATCGGGGCGCAGAGGTCACACCAGCAGAGTGATGACCACTCCGTCGTCCTGGCCTTGCCACAGCATCTCCCCCTCAAAGGCCACCTTCCCGTGCTTCCTGGCCCTCATCAGAATCCCCACCACCTTATCAGAGATCCGAACATATCTGTCGAATAGCTCTCCAAACGTCACGCGGGTCTTTCCATCCGGGTCAGGATCAGCCATGGTCCTGATGACGTAACACATGTCGTCTATTTCCCGATGGATGTGTTGCTCGGCCCGTTTGGCCCTCTCGGCGGTCTTGGTTCCCTCCTTGGGGCGTCCGTAACCCTCCTGGCCTTTTTGGAGACGGAGGGACATGGAGTAGTCATGGTCAAAGTATTCGCTGAACGGGTTCAGCTTCTGGTTTACTGTATGCTCCACGGCCCAGTTCTGCCAGCGGCTCTTCAGGTTTCCCACGGCGCTGTACTTGTGGGACAGGGCGTTGATCTTGTTGGCATCCTCCGTCTCCTTTTTGTACCTGGATTGGATCACATTACAAATTCATAAAAATGTTTCAGACAAATCTGTAAAAACAGCAGGACTCTTGTTTTTAAGCTTATTTTATCTGTAAAAGTAGGCAAATAGATGGTCCAAATTAAGAATAAAAAAATCATGTAAAAAAAAAATCTAATTTGGTCAATAATTATTACAGTGCTGTTTGACCAGTTTATGTTTCAAACTCTTATCAGCTATGAATAAACCAAATGGGGTTTTGGGGGTGTAACTTAATCAAGAATACCAGACTTAAAGTGGAAAAGTGTGTCCAGAGATTTGACTTTTACATTTTTCGTTTTATTTTAAAGTTACAAGTCTTTGTTGTTGCGTGTAGACTGATAACAGTATTTGAATGTAACTGAAGAGGAACACTGGCTCATCAGAAACGGTTGCAGGGTCGCGGGGGCCAGGTGGAAATATGATCAACAGATGCTTTACACAGCAAAGAAAAACTGAGATGTCAGGCTGGCACACTGATTTTACTCACATGGAGACTTGAGGTCTTTTTATCCTCACCGACTCTTCATCGGAGTCATTGTGCTCCTCTTCTTTTGAAACAGTCTCCCTTTGGTTTTGAGACTCGCCAACAGTCACTCTCTCCTCCCCTGCATCTCTGGGTTTACCCCTGTTGTCTTGTCCCACTCCCTCCTTAGCGAGGTTTCGCTCATTCTCCACCTGCTTCCAGCTTCTGGTCAGAGAGGACACCATGTTGGAGCACTTCCTGCGGCGCGTCGGCGAGCTCCTCTTCTTCAGCAGCCTGTCAATCTCTTCAGCCGACGGCAGACTCTCTTTCTGCATCCTCTCAGTCAGGAGCCCGACTCCTGCACTTTTCTCCTGAGCCCCGCTGTTGACCGTCCTCTCCACCTGCTTTGTCCTGATGCGGGATGGCCCTAATGGATCACCTGGTGGGGTCGTGACCCCATCAGAAGTGGACGTTTCAGCCATCACACGTCCATCAGAGGTTGGCTGGGAGTAAACAGCAGGAGGCTTCTTCTGGACCCATGGCTTCCTGGGCTCCCCAGCCCCTTCTCCTAAAGAGGCGGGGGCCCAGCCACTGGGCTCACTGTCCTGCTTCTTCTCATTTTCGGTCACCCACTGCTGCCAGCTGCTCGTCAGGCCGCACACCAGGCTGATGGTCCGGAGCTTCTTAATGTTTTTGTTGCCGGATGCTTTCCTCAGAGGAGCCGGGCCACTCTGCTTCTCTGACATAATGATCTGTATTAATCACTTCAAGCACAATTAATCCCGATTAACGAGCTGTTAGATCAGCCGCAAAAATCTCATCTTCTCCGCTTAAATAGCTGCTTTCAATTAGTTTTTTTCCCTCCGTCTGTTGCTTCCCAACCTTGCACTTAGAGCCACGGCTCTAAAATAAGAAGAGGAAACTCTAACACGATGGTGGAAAGTATTCGAGCCATCCTGGAATACAGACCTGATCATCTTTCTCTAACACCGATCCCCCCCCGGGACGAGCCGGTGTTTCATCACAAACATGGCTGGTAATTAGAGGTAAACAGGGCAGTGGAGCAGGACCGGCTCCAGTGGCCCACAAATAGTCCACCAAATGCATCTGATATGTATTTTCAACAGTGTGAAGCTTCCACAGAAGCAAAACCCGAGGCTTTACAGAAACCTGTTCACAAATCTAGACGACCATGCACACTGAGAGATGATAAAATATTTTGTGCGATCACATTCTGCTTAGCACTTTCACTCCTGGTGCTGCTGGAGGCTTTCCCAGCTTTAAAATAAAACAATGGCATGTTATTGAGAAGAACAAAATATCAGCGTTTTGCCGACAACTGTTTTGAAACTCTCTCCTTGTGCAACACAGCAGGAAAAGATATTTTACCCGTACCTTTTTTTTAATCTGTACTAAGAAATCAATCAAGTGTTCCTTTATTTGTAAATGCCTCATGTTAAAACATTTTGCAGTCTAGATTTGAGTAAAACTATCTGCATCATACTGCAAAAATATCTATGAGGGAAGAAGTACAAGTAATTTATTAAAAAAACAACTTTAAATATTTCACTTACAGCAACAAAGAGAAATATTACATTGCGTTTCCATGATATATTTGATTCTTTTTTTCAGTTGCAGGTTTAAGTTTATTTGAATTAAATAATACTTTTTTTTTTAATGTTGTAGAGCTCTCCAATCATTATTAAAGCACATTTCATTAGCTGAATGTAAGTTATGTCAATTTTCCAACACACAAAGCAGAAAGAGAACCCCAAAGACCAACCAGAACCCGCCATGGCCAATAATTCAGTGTCAGATAAAAAGAAACGCTTGATGAGAGTGCAGAATTTAAACACAGCTACCAAACACGTTTTTTCCATCCGAGAAAAGAAACAAGGAAATTCTTGCTGGGAAATGATGCGGCAGCCGCTACAGATGAGGAACAGATCGGTTCTGGCATGTTGATGGCAGAGATGATTAATAGTTTGAAAACACTGACTGGCATGAATAGTTCGGATTTAAGAGGCATTTTGTTTTGTGGAATTGTTCACTTCATGTGTGACTTTCCTTCCCCATGTTTCCAGATGGAGTTGGATTATAAATAGCATGGCAAACACAGAGTTGCAGCTGTTGGCAGTCTGTCATGAAGGGTGGAAGTGACTCAGCGAGCATCCTCTCAAGCCAAGTTACTCTGATCGTATGCACATTCAGGTCGGAGAGGAGGAGGTCTCCTCCAACAGGACACACAGGCTCACAACACCCTCCATTTTTTTAGAGATTTTTCCAGTCGTTATGTTGGCACCATAGAGACAACACCTGATTTCAAGTCGCTGTTCTTCCAAGGCCTCTGTGTTTTTCAGCTTTGGTTTAAAAAGGTTAACAAAAGCCATCTTTTTTTTTTTTCAGTGTAAATGATTTACATTTTTTGAAAAGCCGATAAAGATTTCTTCCAAACGTTTTGTGCCGTTTGTTTTTATGTGATGTCTAAATTTAGATGGATCCATAATTTATCCATATTTTACTGACAGACTCATGGTTAGTATGGAACTGTGCTTTGGAATTAGTCTTCTATGTAGATCATTAACCCCAATTAATCGGTTTACAGTTGTGATGTTCAGAAAAAAAAAATAAACATGGCTTTGGTGACAACTTAGTAGTCACACTCTGTTTTAGATAGGCTTGTGCCATGTTTACAAAGGATGTCTACAACTGTAAAAGAAAATGAACACTGACAGGTGTAATGCTTTATTTTTCCATCTAAACAAGAGGAGCTATGGCACCCTTGAGGGAGGGAGCAGACAAAGCACAATAAATAGAACTAAAATGGTATTTGCACTGAGGCTCATTATTATAACTAATCATTTATAGGTTATGGATTTTTTTTGCAGGATCCAAGCAAATGAGCAGGTATCTGAGTAGATGTTTCAGCCTGAAGCATCAAAAATAACCACTAAAAAAATACTATGCCACTTTTTTTAAATTTCTTTAGGCATAAGAGCAGAATTTCTTGAGAAAAAGTTTTAATACTGACTAAAGCCTTGACTAACTTAATATAGATGTGCAACCACATCAACATGCTTCCATGCCCACGCTTCACTTGTTTTAGTTCAATTCTTGGACCAATGTATTTACAAACAGACCCAGTTTCACAACATTCTAAAGCTACATGATCCTAAAAAACTATGGTTCAACCCAATTCTTCCCATCATTGTATTGTGAGACAGTAATACAGAAAAAATGAAAACACTAGAACAGATGAGTTTGTAACATGAATTCATTCCCATTATAGCTCATAGTTCATCAAAAACTTAAAAAGACAACAGAAATACTGTACAAACACAAGCTGAAGAACAGGTGAGGTGAAGAAGAGGAGTTTGTTTGCAGCATCAGGACATTTTCTGGAAGACAAACACCAAATAGATACCTGCAAACAACACAGACAAGTCAAGGGTTGAGGTTATCTGCAGTTTCCATCCCTCTTTTTAAAACTGTAGAGAAAAGTCTGGGTGGCAGCGCTAATCAGGCAAGTCCAGATGCCAGGACATCAAACTACTGAACTTAGCTTAGTTTATGCCCTGCTCCTCCTATTCTGAACACACGGCTTTACAGTAAAACAAAAGCAGAAACCACAGAACGTACAGGGAATCGTTTCCTGGACGAGTGAGCAGCTCCAGCTTTGTTAACACTCAGATAACTGAATAGAAAATGTTTATCCGGATTAAATGTGATGACGGAAAATGCTAACAGGTCTAAAAATGACCAGCAGACAGAACAATAAAACACTTACTGGTCGCCTCCCACTCAGATCTGCTCAGGGTTCCCTGCACGAAAACAAAAACAAACACTGTCAGACGGTGCAAAACACACTGAGGCGTGCACACCGCCGGCGTGCTGACAGCAGACTCACCACCGGTGGTTTGACTCCATCTCTGTCGCAGTGCTCTTTGGCATGGCAGTACTCCTCTCGGTTATCCGTAGCTTGTTGGCCTCTATCATCACAGGGATATGGCTGAAAACACAACCAAAGTTAGATAATTACCCATTAAAAAACAGAGCTAAACTACATTAAAAAATAAATGAATACAGAGCAAAGATGCTTCACACTTCTAACCTCCAAAGCCGTCATCTTCATCATGAGTCTGCGATGATGCTCCTTCTTCACCTTGTCCTCGAAGAACTCAGAGAACCTCTGCTTCAGTACCAGGCGCATGTTGTAACGCTTCGCCATGCTGGAAGAGGCGCACACACAACACTTGAGTCTGCTGAACCTCTACTCAGCAGCATCCTCAAACAGCACATCTGCCTCATCTTTGACATCAACACAAAACAGCTACTTGATCAAGTCTCTGGAAGCTCACGAGAAGGAAAAATAGCAAATCATACTGTTCGAAAAGAGGAAAGTAGACGAGAAACTCGGGGACGTCCACGACTCCCTGAAGGCTGAAGTGATACTGACACCCGAACAAGGGGTAGGAACCTTTGGACTGAAAGGAGACTTTGAAGACTTCGTTTCCAAACGACAAAGATTCTGACGTCTCCAGACGTTTTCTGCAGAAAACGACAAGAAATGCAATTACTTCATTAGACACTGTGAACATTTTACATGGTTACATCATTTAAAGGTTTTTGCAAGCACACAGAGGGTTAAACGTTTTGTGGTTGTTTCATAAGCAGAGCACAAACTATCACTGCGCTTCCTGTTAGTCGTGAGGGTTTTATAGCAACATCTTTGTCCTCACACAAGTTCATAGGCGTCTGGCGTCGTTCCAATGAAGAAGCCTCCGGGTTTCAGGCGTTCGCAGGCATTCCTCAGCATCATGTCTGCTTTCTGTTCGCTCTCAAATGAGTAGTGATACACAAACTGACAGCTGCAGATGTCAAACATCTGGTCTTGGTCGTCCATCTTCTCTGACAAAACCTCCTGAACAGACAGGTGGTGAGAAAGACAGACCTTAAAACAAGGCTTTATTCCATCATATAGTTGGCCTCCACTCTAAAAACAGACAAGCTGATCTAACTTTCATGGTTCTACCTTTGAACAGTCTGCGGTGATAAACTGAGCGCTGAAGATTCTTTCACTCGGGTGGCTTTTCCGTTTCATATCATCATAACGACTCTGGCACTGCTCCACCGACACTCCGGCTATGTCTGCAAATGACAAAAGGAGTTACGACAGTTGTGGTTTAAAAAGATAAAAACAAATACTTTCATTTGGCAGAAGTGACTGACTAAGTTAAAAATGGTTAAGTGGAGATAGGATCACCGTCAGAAAGCAAGGCTCATTTAATCACTTCTGGAAAAAAGCCAGAAAAAAGATGTCTGAGGATAAGTCATTAACAAACAGTACCTGCACAGACCAGGTGGCTGATTCCTCCTCTTCTCCACTTGAGCAGGTCTCCTCCTTTACCACAGCCGAGGTCCAACACAGACACCTGTCTGTGGCCTGCCTCACGTACCTGCTCGAGGATCTCACCTGTTACAAAAGAAAGTTTAAGCTCACAAGATCTGGGACGGAGTGGCAGTTACAGGTCAAATACATATGCAGCTAAACAGTGATGACTGGTTTAATAGCACCTAATATGACTGCTGATAGTTACCAATAAGGACACTCTTTAGCCAGTTGTTAAAATTCCTCATGAAGAAGATCCTGCTTTGACTTCTAGCTGCCAGACCAACTTCCTGCAGCTTGTTATAGTGAGTCGCCACCTTCACACTGTGGTCAGTCACCTGAGAAAGAAGAAATCATCAGTCAGTTAGTAATTAAGTACTCTTCCTAAAAGCATACATTAATGTAAATAGTGACAATTAAGTGTACCTGCTTCTTGGTGGGAGATGTTTCTTCTGCTGCTTCTTCATCATCATCATGTTTCCTCTTCATCCCCGTCTTCTGACTCAGCTCTTCACCGCCTGGAGTCACTCCTTCATCTTCATCTTCTTTCTGTTTCTCTCCCCCCTGCTTCATCGTTTCTGTCTGAACAGACATCTGAAGGAAAAAACAGAGGGCAGATCAATCAGGCTGTGGTCAAAGGACCATAGATGCAAGAAACAAAAAGCAAAAAAAAAAAAACTTTGCAGGGGTTTGGATGAAGTTTGGCTACACACACGTTTGAGTCAAGTCATGTTTACAGCTGCTCATTTAACTGGAGTGCTTATTAGCTTAAACATCACCACAGAGATGTGTGTGAGAAGATATCAAGACATATACAGCTTTATTGTGAGTCAACAAAAACATAGAATTGAGAATCATTCCTCCTTTACCCAAACTGAATCTGCCTAACAAATGAGAAAACCGAAATTCTGCTTTGGACTTTACTGCAAGCAGAATTTGATGAGAAAACTGCATTCTAGTGACACAATATTTAAAAAATCATGGAGTAACAATATTTTGTCCGAACACAACATGTGTGTATTGAAGGTTGCATATAGACCATTTCTATCCAACTCCGAGATCAGGCACCAACATGCATGTGTTTCCAAAGAGATACACATCAAACGTGGAGTTTACTGGACCAGTGAGTCAAAGACAAACCCTAACTCATCTTATCTTAATTCTATGGAATGGGGAAACCGAGATGATAACCTTACCAGCAGACTAACACGCATGTAGTTTCACCGGATTCTCTGCCTTCCTTAACATTAGAATAACACACGACTACGGTGCGTGTTTTTACGGTGGTTTCAGTGCCTAAACTGGATAGACATGTTTTCTCATAGGTGGCTTATGTCATAAGCAGACCAGACCTTAAATAACAGTGAAAAGAAAAACAAAACCTGCTGTTAGCTTACAGCAGATAGCTAACATGAGCTAAGTCAACAAAACACCGTAACATTCAATCAGGGGTAAGCCGTGATAAGGTAAAATCTCTGTGTGGAGCCAAAGTACCAGTTATTTATAAGCACACACTTTCTATGGAAGTCAAAGTAGATCCAAAGTTTGAAAATAAGTAAAAACCTAAATAGAACTCTACTCACAGTGCTCCGCAAACACGACCCGCGCGCCCTACGCAACTTCCGGTTACGTAGGCGTCATATTTGTGCGTCTCATCCGAAACACAAGGCGGCGATATGAACACGTGAAATAACAGCGGTCAAACGTTGACATGGAAAATCTGCAAACAAGCACATTTCTCCTTAAAAACAACAAAACAACCCCCCCCTAAAAGTGTTAATCAAGCACAAATAATAAGGATTTATTGTTTCAGGTGTGATTTGTTTTTCTTCTGTTCTTTGACAGCTAAATTATGATTGGAAAGTCCACTCACCTAATCCAGCATGTAGATGCTGATTAATGCAAAAGCTTTTTCTTCTTGTGTTATTCTTGTGTTGTCTTGTGTCAGCAGCAGTAGAGATTGTCAAATATAGTACTTACTTGGGCTTGTAAAAAATGCCTTGAAATTAAGAAAAAAGAAAATAAGTATTTGCCAAACACATTTGCCTTAAGCATTTCCACACAAGATTTCCAAGAAAACTTGTAGTAACATCCATAGCGTCAACCACATGATCCAACACACATAAAAGAGTGATAGTTACATATAAACTGGCTCTAGGCACTTCTGTTAGTTTATTTCTTATAGTTCTTTCTACATCCACTCAATTTTTATATATGAATTTTAATATTAGGATCCATGTACCAGGAGCGGCAAGGCGGTGGGGTTTGCACCATCGCCTCACAGCAAGAGGGTTCTGGGTTTCAGACCCCGGCGGACCACGTGGAGTTTGCATTCTCTCCCTGTGTCTGCGTGGGTTCTCTGCGGGTTCTCCTGCTTATCCCAGTACCTATCCCAGTGGATAGGCTCCACTTCCCCCGCGACCCCATTAGGGAATAAGCGGTTATAATAATGGATGGATGGATGGATCCATGTAGCACATACGCATTATTTTCTGTCAGTTTTCAGGCAGAGAAAAAGATTCTTGCTATTCATCTGATGTAAACAGAATTGTGTGCAGTCATTTATAAAGCTTACACTCTGAATAGGAATGCAGTGGGGACAATTTAATGAAGGAAGCGTTCTTTTCATGTAATTTAATTTAAACTCAGTGCAGACAGTACAATGGAAACCTCACAATAGAAACAGGTGTAATAATATGATGATGAAATGCCCAAGAGGTCAGAGGGAAGAGACCTCCATGATTCCATAATCATTTGTGATGATGACATCATGCTATAAAGGTAGTGCAAATGGCCATGGTACCACCTTTCCATCTCTGTTGATCAACTGAGCCAAAATAAAGTAAAGAATGATTTAACCTGGGAATAGGTTCTGACTGAAGTAAGATGTTATATAGGGCTTTTTGTCAGTTGTGAAAGGCTCTTTAGTGTTTGTGGTCATTGTTGGTGGTTTGGATCTACACAACTTCAGGCTGGATGAGAAGATGCAGACAGACACATCGAGCTTCAGTTTCATATCAGCTGAACCTGGATCAGTTTCATGTAGTGATCCTGTCTGGTATGTCTGTAATTCATCCTGCTGATGGCGATCTGAGAGATGAGACTTATTACTCTGCTGGCAGATACTGAGGTTCACAGGCTCACTTTTAAGATCAGTTAGCCAGAATCCAGAAAACTAATAATGGCCTGAATACCTCAATTTAATGAAAAGAGACAAAACATCCTAGAGGACAAGTCCTTAAGGTGTACACTGTTTTAAGCATGTGATTTATCAACTGCCAGCATGAGGAGTTTAACCTCTAGAGTCATGGTCAGTATTATCAGTCTAACCCAGTGGACATTAGAGTAGGAGACTAAAGCCTTTATGTTTTTTTACCCTGAAAAAAAAAGTTACAACATAACTGATTCTTTTTTATAATGTACGCTATACCTGTAGTCCAGTGTTATCTATTTTATATTGTTTTGTTCTTTTTGTGTTGAATGTACTTCTATTAATTTAGATTAAAACTGTCAATGCAACTCTCCATCCAATGATCCAGAAACAAAAAACATTGATCTATGACATAGCCCATTTAACCCACAAGGCAAAAGGCTGGAATCGGCCCAAAGGGTCACTGGCCATCACACGACCATACAGTGGCAAAAGCATAAACAGTCATGTCCACTTACGTTTACTCTAAGTGTAAATTTTAGAATAGTTATTCTAACATGCATGTTTTTGGAAGGTGGAAACTGATCATATGTACTCATATGTTCTGAACCTGTTGTGATGGTGATTATGGAGATCTGTTGGTCATTTAGATCATTATTCGTTATAGATACCCATCATATAAATGTTTCCGAAACACATAGCCTACATATCGTCACTTATTTTAATTTTTCAAGGTTTCTTGAGCTGGTAATTACAAAACGCCTGTTCGAATGGCACTACTAACTCTTGGGGGGTTGTATTAATGATGAAAATTGTCTGCATATTTTGACTCACTGTGTACTTAAAGACGGGGATAATTTTTCAGAGAAGCACCCAAGTTCCTAAAGACACTTAGAAATGTTCGACCCCTCCATTACAGGTCATTGCAGAGGAAGATGGGACCTCTAGTGGTCATGAGGGAAACTACATGTACATGAGAAAATGGACTTCCACAAAGGTAACTCTTTTATAGTAAAAATCTTGTTTTTTCACCAAAACCAAACAACTATGCAATTAAGATTTATAACTCTCATCATGGGATGCTATTTCTAAACCTAGCAAGAAACCATAAAGTCATTTTAATGAGTCAACAAAATGGTATAAATGAGTTTGTGTCCTGAAAAGAGCGTATTTTTAACCCCAGTCATGATAATTTCTTTATTATCCAAAAATAAAATGCCATGCCCAAAATGGAGCAGTTATGTTGGCCATGAATATGTATGTCATGCTTTTTTCCACCCAAATGGACAAAAAAAAATAGGATAACCGAAAAACAACCTTGGTCTTAAACTTAGTACTTCAGAATTAATGACAGTTAATTGTATCCATTCTGGTGTCCGTGTCAGTTTAGAAATGAACCTGGTTTTAAGATTAAATGTGTTTCCTGTAATCATCCTGTAGGGCAGCCTCAGACAGACAGAGGACGGAATCATGGGTGGATGAAAGGAAGGTTGGACTGATTAATGGATGGAAGCTCTATAAACATGTAAATCTGACCTTACAGTGTTTCAAAGCCACTACATTGGCTGAATAAAGTAGTGGTGCTTTAAAAAGCTTCTTCAGCCGTTCAGCCGACTCTCCTTTTACACAGAAAGACGTTTTCAGACAGAAGAGGCTTTGATACACAAATACCACAAAACCCCCGCAAAAAAAAAGCCTTACCTACCCTGTGCCCCCTGTAAACCCCCTCGCTACCATTATCACTATACGTGTGTGTGTCTGAGAGAGGAAAGGGGGGGGTCTCCAGGGAGTCCATTTTACCCTCTTTTCCATTACGGCAGCACACCAGCACGTACACACACACATATACACTCGTATTACCTGTGTGTTTCCAAGTTGGCCAACTTTCTGGATGTTGTTTCCAATAAAGTCAATAAGATTTATTTTAGTTCTTGTCACAAACCTGCTTAGAAAGCTCCTGTTCTCCACACATGCTAGAATATTGCATTTGAAAGCATCTTTACAGAATAGCTGGAAGATCACCAATGGAAGCTTTACTGAAGTGTACATGACCACATCATTATTGCAATCAAATGAACCTGTGACCAAAATTGGGATGTCGGGCAGGACCATAACTGTTGACATTCCCCTGGAAAAATATTTGACAGGTTAACCATTGGTGTTATTTCACAAAGAATATGTATTATTGTACACTGTTAGCTCAGGAAATAATATATGCTTGTCTTTCTTACTTTACTTTACTTTATTTCTTTATGGCCTTTGATAGCATCATATTCCTTATCAACAGATATTAACACAGATGGTGTTATGCAGACTAATTCTGTCTAGCTGTCTGCTCCAGAGGTGAATAAATATGCATTGATGGTTGGTATTATCTTCTAAAAGTCCAAACCTCAACAATTTAATTTAAATCCTGGTGGCCCTGTTCTGAGTACCTTTAAGCTTTGGCTCTCCTTAGTGAGCATACAACCTCTTTCTACGGCAAGCAAACAGTAACAACTCATACATTAAGCACTACACACAATTCCGCTTTGAAAGAGGCAAAGTATCCCTTTAAGGCACTGCTGCACATTTTGGCTATAACCCTCAACTTCTTTTTGTTTTCGAGAGTGAGCAACCCTCAAAGGATCAAATCTGAGGTGGTCTGGGTCTATAGTGGCTCAGGTCTATAGTGGATCTGGTTCCAGGTGAAGCATTATTGTTCTGCTCTAATTGTTCTTAAGGTTCTATCGGAGGATCTGAGTCAGTGAAACTCGACCGGCTGCTAATGTCCACACTGAGTGTGTTTGTTAGGGGGGGATTCCCTGAACTGCGAGGACGCCAAGAAATTCCAAAAAGATTGCGGGTGCCTGTGTTCCTTTTCTATTGTTGCGAGGACCACCGTAAGTTACAATCTGAGGTCTAATTCTTCATGTCGGAAAATCTGGCTGTTCTTTCAGAAGTACTAAAAAAAATCAGCCAAAAACTCTAGTCTGGTTATTTCCCAAGTAATTTACAGTTGTTTGGGTAATTGTGGTTAAAGTAGGATTGAATAAAGCCCTGAAAAGACTGTTTGAGAAACCAGTGTCCCATAGGGGTACTTTTCACGCAAACTCACAAACTCCATTTGGGGATCAAAGTGGTGTTTCAGATTTACATGTCAAAATTAGATTTTTTGAGTCCTCTAAGTTTTTCCATATTATGATATGAACCATGTCCATCTGAACTTCATTCAGCATTTTGGTTGGACACATAGTCCTCACAGATACAGAGAAACCTACCTGTGTGAGTCGTCTTCACCTCCTCTTGCTGGGCATTAACATAGAAACCTGAAACTCATACTCACTAACAAATACACACCAACAAAAACACACTCTGGTCCGTCCTCTGTGCAGGTGACATTTAGGCAGATATATAAACCACCGCCAGATGCTCGGAGCCAGAGGATTCCTGCAGTCAAACACTGAAGTACTGTATCGGTCACCTGTCTGCCTACTTGAGCATTCACCTGTCAGCCTGCCTGTCGTACTGACCAGGGACCTGTCTGACCTCACGGCATCATGATCAGCAGGTACGTCCGTCCTCTTCTCTGTGTGTGTGTTGATACTGTAAAACAAAATGACAGTAGACAGACTTCCACCCACAGTGACGAATGATGTAAAAAAAAAATCTAATTATCTTCTTGTGGCAAATTATCTTCTTGTGGCATATCTTTGATCTTCAGTCAGGTGTAAAAGTCAAAGTTTAATGTTTTAAAGCATCCCTCCTGTTCTGTGTGTTGCTGTACTTTATGTGTCTGGTGAATATTTGTTTTCAATCAGCTCTGCAATTGTTGGTTGAAAAAGAGCAGTATTTCTACTCCACTTATTTCATAAATGTGATACTTTCTGTAAGACATTCACAAACATATGTACATATTTTTTTTATATTTTCTTTTTAGCACAGATCCAATTGTTTTTTCTCTTGTTTTGGTGATGCATTAGGCTTAACAGATCTTTTCAATAAATGGATAAATATTCTTTAAAAAATGATGACGCAGTAATGCTCTCAAGTATTCAGTCTGATCTGTTTATACTGGCATCTTAAGGCCAGCACTGAACCGAGACTAAATTTTAGTGTTTGGATTGCAGGAATATTGTTCTTTTGGTCTCCATTTTTGTCCTGTTGGTAGAGGGAGACCTTGACTCCAATGGTGAGATTTCCAAAGAGTCTGAATAATAATATCTGTTTTGATAAATGTATTGTTGCTTCATTGAACTGCTTGATGTGTGCAGATGCTGGGATACAAGCCATGCCAACAGGTAAATCAGCTGCCTCATACTCATCACTGTTCTACACAACACTCTGTATCAGTCTGTCAGTAACCTGTGCCTCTCTCTCTTAGACAAAGATTCAACTTCTGATGAAGCTCCTACAGGTGAGTCAGAACTTTCAAAATTAAATCTAAGTGAGTATTATTATTTTGTACGTCTCAAGATAAAAAGAGTACCTTCAGGATGACAATTTGGTTAAAATCTAACCTAATTCATAAAATCTCAGAGAACTTCTGTTCATGGAAAAACTGATTCTTATTGTGAAAAATGGAAATAGGACACGTTATAAAATCAGACTGTACAAAGACACGTAAACAGTGGTCTATCATCTGCATATTGTTGATTACTACATTAGAGTGAATCACGGTGCTTCTTGTTCAAACATTCCATGCAAGTATAGAACAAGCAAGAAGATTCAATTTACAACAAAACTCTAATGGATGGATTGGAGGTAAGACTTAGGAAAATACATTGTCTAGAATTAGCAGCATCTGCAGGTTTTACTGTAAGCAAATTTAGTCACTGTTGAGTTTAATTCTGAAATATTTTCTTACTCTATTTCATCTCTTATCTTTTATTTTTTCAGAGAGCATGAACGTTGTATCTCCTGATTATCCTGGTAAGAACAAATAATTCTATGTTGCTTGCATCAGAAAAAGCTATGAAATCATTTACAAAATAACAATTAAAAAGTAGTAACTCAAATCCTATTCAGGTCACATTTACTTCTGTGGGAAGAGAGAGGGTTTAACAGGCTAAAAAGGCAGACTTTTTGAAAACTTTTTGGATCTCTTGTAATGGATAGTAAGAATGAAAAAAACATTAGAAAGACAAAAAGCATTTAAATACAAACTTGAGGAAGATTTCTGGACAATGATAGTGCCTTTATTTACTCATCATAACAAGTTATGTAATGTATTCAGCCATGAATGACACTACCACAAGGTGGAACTCTTACTTCAGTGAACACACATACTTACTAACGGCAAAACAACCACTAATTTATCAAAGTAAGCAAAGCTCAAAGCAAAAATAACATTGTGTCAATTTCAACCACTCAAAATGTTTTATCTGTTCACGCATCATTTTCAAGTCAAAAGTAAAAATATTGGATGTGTTATTTCTTATCATAATAAACTGTATTATTTAAATTATAAATTAAAACTACAACACAATCCACTGCAGTTCTCTACCAGATTTACAGGAACTGTTCTTTAATCTCTAGCGGTAGAGGTCACTTATGGTAAGAGACTAGTAAATAAGATAGATGACCTCAATAAAAAATGTAATCTTTGTACATTTGCAACCTGACATGATTGTATTCTCACATAACATCTGTTTCCAGATGAATCCCAGTATTATGGAAAAGGCCCATCAGGTAGGAATATGAAAATGATTTTAGGTGACAGCTACACCTGCACATCATTTACATTTCAAGTGTCTCTTTGTGTCCTTCTTATAAAAGAGGTACCAACACAGTAAAACAGATTTATTTTATTTGTGGGGTATGTATTTATCTGTTAATGTGTTGATGTGTTTCAGACACCAGCAGCTCAAGTTCAGAGACATCAGACAGTGAGACAATAAAAAAAAAACTCAAATGTATCTATGCTTTACCAATCTTTGTACTTAAGAGTGGATTTTCATATTTATTTATTTTTATTTATTCCTTCTATAATAGCCCCTGTACCCAATCAGGTGACAGCTCCTGGTAAGACGATTTAAAAAACAAAACATGAATCGTTCTGTTCAAATAAATCAGAATCCATTTGTGTTTGTTTGATTCATGGATTGATTGGGTGAATGATTGGGTTGTTTTCAGAGCCTGTTGTAGCGGCTGCAAACAGTGTGGAGGAAGAGGATGGTGAGTCAAAGATACATAGAACTTTTTTTTACTGATTGATATACATAAACACACACAGACATACTGATATATATAATATATATATTATATATATATAGACAGATATCGGTATGGACAGATAAAAACTAAAAGGTATCGATACATTGTACAGGTACAGTTCGGTTTGAACTCCTGCTACAGGAAATGAATAATCTATTTTTTAATTTGGATGTTGTGGCAGATGATCATATGTGATGACCATTTGTTAAAAATGTATTTTCAGAAGATGAAAGTACTGACTCTGATGAAGGGGGGAAGAAAAAGTTCAGTTCCCGCTCCTCCAAAGCTCAGAACCCCGCCCACATCGCACAAAGCCCTGTCCATGTCGCTCACATTCCCGCCCCCCCACCACTGCCCATCGTCCCTCAGCCAAAAGCTCTGGTGAGGAGCCGAGTATCCAAGAGACGATCCAGGACCAACCGCCGCCAGATCTAGGGGACGATGACCACCTAATAACGATGACCACACAAACATATAATCTATCACACAAGGAGACGAATGACACACACACAATCTGAATGTTTGCAGATGCTTACAAAAACTCACTCATACTGTTGAAAACTTGGAAGCTGAACATGAAATACACCCACACATACAGCAGGATCAGTCTCAAATATTAATCCGCAAACTCATCAAGCCATCTGATTGGTCAAGCAGACCAAACAGGTCTCCGGGATACAGGGGTCTTGTTCAAGCCAATGTTTTTTGTACATTTATACGGCATGCTTGGACACTTCATTTGCAACAGATTGAAATTGGTCAGACACTTGGAGATAAAGGATGTGACACTTTAACCACAACTGTGAAACCACACTGAATTTATGCTTTTAAAGTCCATGTTTGATTTTTGGATGAAAATGAAACGTTAAATTGTATCACATGATTTACTTCTTAAAGGTTTTTGTAACACTTAAAAAGAAGAAGAAAACAATAATAAGGGTCACTGCGAATACTATCAACCAGTGTCAGAGCCACTCTGGCCATTGATAGATTTTGTCTTTTGGGCCCCTGCTAGATGTAAGGATTCCCCCCCCCACCCCCCACACTCCAGCAGACCTCAGAGTATTAAATCTGCTCCATTTATCTTTTTTTCTGTCTGTTTTTTTTGTGAGACATTTAAGATTGTGAAACATTTAAACAATTGTATGCTATCTTCTGCTTGTACCTTATTATCTTATTTTAATAAAGTTAAACTGAATATAAGATTACGATGTCTGCACTCCTGTCTGTATTGATTATCTCAAAGATCAAATTAAAACTGTGCTCGTGTTTTTAAAACAGATCCTTTTCTCCTCCTAAGGCCTCTGGTTTGAAGGGTTTATTATGTCACTTATGGCTGCTGGTGGTTTGGTGGATAGCAAGGGTACAACAGCTTCTCTCCCTATGGCTCCAGCCAACCTGCAGTAATACTTAGAATAAGTAGATATGGAAAATGGAAAGATGGATTTTGTAAGTTGTTAATACAGTGGGATCTTAAAATCAGGGTTCAGACTGTCCAGCAAGGAAAAAAACTGGCCTGCTGGTGGTGATGTGAATGCAAATTTAAATGCAGACTTTTACATTGTTCTTCCTCAGCAAACTGATATCATACATCAAAATGGATTCTGTTCATTCCACTCATACTACAATGGTTTTGTAATTTCTTTCTTCGTTATTTTTCACTGGTTTTTACACACATGGGAAAATATAGATCGATTGCGGGTTGTTCTGTTTGATAAAGAAAGGGAAAAAAATTATATCTGTAACCTCATCACATGCACCAAATGTTAGAGGATGTTTGATTCTCTGGGTTCTGAGAAAACTCTCATTCTGCTGCACAGCAGCAACTGTTTCATCTGATTAAATCTCACGGAAGAGATCTGGACATCAGTGACGTACTGTAAGCAGTAGATTATCCTGAAAGTTGAGGAAGCAAAATGATTTTCAGATGTTTCCCTTTTCTTTTTTTCTTTACTCTTTGTGTTTGTATTGTTGTTTCTTTTTAAAAGAAATAAGGAAACACCAGTCTTTATGTTTGGGTGATTTTATTTATAAAGTATTCTCTGGAGATCGAATGGAGCAATCAAATTACAAGGAGACAAATATGTGTTCATATCTAGTGTCAAGGCTTTTACTGTAGCATTATTCAGCCATGCTCTTTGCCTAACAAAGCAATTAGGAAAATCCCAAAATTAAAGGGAGCTGGTTCATTTGAGGGAGACTAATCTTTCAAGCTTCTGATTATCAAAACGCCAGTTTGAACTCAGACGATAGTTAATGTTTAAAGTTTGATTCTGTTCTACATTTAAGTAAACTTACATTAGTAGATGAGATTTCACAAATATCTATTATATCTACAACTTGCAAAAATGATTCCAAGTAAAATATTCAGTCAGCTTTATTCTGATGTCAGAGGTCCCACATGTTATGATGATGATACATCCATTCTGATGAGTACAGTAAGAATATTTTAATAAGCAATAATAGCATTATTAATGTTTTAGTTATATAACTTGTAGTTTCGTTGGGTATCATGAGATTTTGGTATGTAGCACCTTCCAGAGGAGAACATGTGTTATCTGACAATGCTTAATTCTACTCAATTTAATTTCTCTCTGGGATAAACAAAGTATTTTTTTAACTTAATTTAATGTATCTAAGTCCTGGATGCTTGGGAGCATCTATGATTGGTCCCAATCTGTGGGTCTTTATGCAGACAAAGAGAAAACCTTTTTCCAAACTTTATCTATTATATATTCATAAAGAAGCAGCTTGTTTTGTTATGTTTTGTATTGAGTTAGTTAATCTTTAGGCAGGTATCTTTAGGTTTGGGTTCTTAATAGCACAGATAACAAGAATGTGTATGTGTGGCGTGGTGCGTGTGTTTGTGTGTCATTTGGAACATACTTGTTCAGTTGAAGTTTGTTGCTGCAGAAACAACACATAAGCCAAAAGGAAAACAAAGCAAACCTTCAGAGAAACAGCAGCTGACTCCCTCCACATGCTTTCACAGTGTTATCAGTGAATGTAGCAACAGCCTGGGCACACTGACTGAGGAAAACACCATTTTGTGTTCTTCCTCACAGCTTGAAGGGTTTTTGCGATGTAGTTCTTTTCAGATTACAACCTTTCCTGTATTTAGTCCGAGCACCACACCAGACTAAAAAAAAAGCTGAATTTTCTCTGTTACTGGTGTTTTAAACTAACTATACAACAAATTGTGGGAAATCTGACAGTCAGTGGACAGCCACCTCCTCCTCACTCATACCTCTGTCCAATATATCTCCATTGCTAGCCATTACTATTTTATTTTATTTATTTTTTTATTTTTTTATTTATTCATTTCATTCAATACAAAGAAAAATTATTCATTTCATTCAATACAAAGAAAAAAATAAATTAAAAAAAATAAATGAAAGGTAGCAGAAAGAAGAAAATAATCTTATAATATCTGCCCCTTTTTCTCAACTATGGATCAAAACAACAAAAAAAGAAAAAAAAATTGATTTGTCTTATGTGACAAAAAAAGAAAACAAAGGAAGAACAAGAAACTATTCCACATACTAAGAAATCTGAGGAGCACAAAGCAATCTGAGGATGATTTAGGTGGCTACCAAACATGTCTTGGTATCTCCCTACTCCGTCATTACATTGCTCAAGGTTAGGCATCATATCATTATGACCTATGAAAGACTTTTTCCTGCTACCCCTTGGGCTCTTGGTACCAGAATAACAAGTGTACGTGTCAAAAAGTTCAGGTAAGGCCACAAATGGTAAATAACATGAATTTATGTACTGATTTTATAGTTTAGATCCCCATTATGATTACTTTTATATTACTAGCTACATGCACCATTCATACATACTAAAATCTCATAGTCTATGGACTGCTTTTCTGCAAACTCACAGCCTGATGGACCCATGAGAAGCCACATGGGGCTCTGTGCTCTTATAAATAAAAATATGTTTATTTGTAATTATCTTTGCTCATATTATTTGACCATATATCTGTGGGTTTTCGGTTAACAAAAAAATATATTTTTTAAAAGTCTTGCTAAACCAAATTGACCTTCTTTGTGATACACTTTTATAAATCGGTTTTGTCAAAGTAATTTGTCATTACCAAAGAAAACAACAAATTAGGAGAAATTTTAAAAATGAAGCAAATGTTTTCATGTCACATGAAAAGTTTTTGTGCTGCATGAAATGTGTTAAATTCAACAGTGTTGGTCTTCTTACTGCTGAGTCAGATTCAGTTTCAGTTTTTGACAGTGTTGGTCTTTGTACTGCTGATTCACCAAACTGAACTGAGACTCAAAACTAATTAAAGGCTGTTAGCATGCAGATGCGCACATGCATTAACACAGAAACCCACTCGCCTTACAACACATCAGCGCACTCACACTAAGGCACACAGACACACTTCGACGGATTTATTCCAGTCTTTTTCTCAGCTTTTGTCCTCAGTTGACCTATTCAGTTAAACTCTGTGCCGGATAAAGTGATTGATTTTCCTGAAATATTTCCTTTAACATTGATACACTCATACAGACAAAAAAAATCAAAAGCCATTACGGAAAATATGTTTGCTAAGCCTGCTGACCATTTTAATGTGTCCTTGGCAATATTTACATAACAACAATTACAATAGCTGGTGACTAAAGTCCCAACCAGGAAACAAATCAGCTGGTGTTTCCCTTTAACTTGGATGGAGGAACCAAGAAGAATATAAAGGCTTCTGGCTTAGCAGGTTGAAAGTATTTCCCTGCAGTTGGCACATACAAGGAAATATGATGATGAAAACATTCACATAGCACTCATTTTTATCATGAACTTGCCAACATGAGGCTCTTAAGCGCAAAGCAACGTGAGTCATTGGTGTCTTATTTTAGAAAAGCACATTCAATTAATTAAGTTCTGGTTTTTCATGCTTGTCTCGAGATACAATGAGCCTTTTGTTTTCAGACTCTTTGTTTCATTGACAGAGCAAAGTACAAAGCTCCCAAGAGTCCACACTACAATACAAATGACAACTCAATCATCCTTTACAAAAACACATCTTAGTTGTTAAAACATTTCAGTCTGACAGAAATGTTCCCTGTGTCTAATGCTGAGGAGTGGCACAGGTCAGAAAGAAAAACTACTTCTATGATCACTGTAGGGTTTGTGTGTCTATGTAAAGGAGAGTCCATATGACATAATCCAAAAAATGTGAACATGTAAGCCCTTTGTGTATTTTACATGTTCTAGCCATATATTTTTGAACAGCTATATGTAACTATGCTCAGTTAATAATGAGAACCTGACACTGACTTTGCTCTTTAATTAAACCGACATTGGTCACATGGGTTCCAGTCTGTCTTTTGCACTATAGTCAGTGAATGTAAGTGAATGATGTGAATATATTTTTTCCCTAAACACTGCAGGAGAGGTATGTTAGCATGTACCCGTAGCAAGTTAAAGGCATCACAAAGCTACCTTCACTATCTCAGTTGTAACCACTCCACTTTTCTCAACTCTGTGCTTTCCGCACTTAGCTTCTTTTTAAGTTTAGTATTTTCTGCAAGACTAAGGGTTTTCTGTTTCTTATTTTTTTTGTTTAGTTTTGTTTAGTTTTTGTATTCTCCTGTGCACACAGGCTATGACAAGTCCAGGTCACAGTGGTAAGATCATAAAACTTGGACAAGCGCTGTCAGCATTCATTCAAAGAAGAGAACATTAAGGTTCAGTGTTAACAGACAGTAAGTAAAACCTATCTCTTTGTTTTCCTTGAAGATGATAAGACTACTTTATGTTCCACTCTGACATGATAGAACAAACCATGGACAGACTGTGAAGCCACCAGTTTGTAGACTACCTCAATCTTCACGTTTATTATATAAGCATTGTTATCTTGAACTTTAGGAGTGAACGCTGACATGCAAAAGATAAAAATTATTAATGAAACCAGGATGGATAACAATTACAGGAATCCTCTGTCTGTAAAAGAGGTCAGCATTGTTAAACAAAGTCCTCAGTGTAATTGGTGAGAACATTAACGCTATGAAATAATTGTAAAAGACCCTCGGTTGTGGTCACTGTATAAGAGTCACTCTTCTGAAGACAATGGCTCTCATTCCATGTTAGCAAATAAGGAACATTTTCCGCTTAAATTAACAAACAGAAGTTAAGCGCTATATAAGTATATGAGTATCTAAATTATATCTGTTTTTAAAATTGTGAACCTGTTTAGACTGTCTATAATCTCGTTTCTTGAACTCAGCAGTTTAAATGGTTCAATTCAGGAGATCCTTGGATTAAATTTTTCCTGACCTTTCAGTCGACATTTCGTGTGGATTTCAAGTGGATTTTCCCTCGCCACTGAACTTCAACTGCTTATCTTAGAAAACACTGAAAACCATTTAATACCAAAGGGCCCACTTTCCCAAATGTCCCAAGTTCACTGTGTCACACATATATTACTTTTGTCCTTTGTGTCATATTTTTAGATGACTATGTAACTATCTCTGTTTCTCACCATGACAAAATCCTTTCTTGTAATTTACGCACAGCAACATCATTTGCAGATAAAATTTGAATCCTGATTCACTCTGAGACATTTGTTCATGCCTTAATCCCAGTTAGGCTTCACAACCGAAGAGCTGGGAGACAGAGCAACCTGGTGAGTCAACAGATACATCACTCCCAGTTTTTGGTCTCTCAGCACTCCTACCAGTTCACAGCCAAAGGATGTGTGTCACTTACTGGTTTATGAGGGTGTGTAAACAGCTGATTTTCAACTCTGAGTTACAAAAGCATGATATCAAAGCTCAGACTGGTCAGTGGTAAGAGCACTGTACACTTGATCTATTGTTGGATACATATTTTACTCTCCTCCACATTATTACGGACCAACTGGCCCTTTTTTATGATACTTGTTCACTCTTTCCAAACTGTTCTCTATCATTGAGTTCACTTAGCTTTTAATTCGGTTCTATTAATTATCTATTTGCTGAATGACTCGTGTACAGCATGGGATTATTTTTGCTGCATCAGCTGTCTCGCTGTCAGATGTTCATATACATGCGTATAATGATACTTTTACCCATGGTGATCTGATTTAGAAAATAACTGGTCACTATTTACAGCCCTGACCCTCAGTCCTGCTCATCTGCGTTAGTTTTCCATCTGTTGAGTTCCTGAAGTGCTGGTCTGGATGCTCATTAGCATTATGCATATTGCCATGTGACCTGTGTTCATTAAGATACAGCAAATATGTAAAGGGAACAACATATTTTCCACAATTAAAAAAAAAGTTTTTAAAGTTTTTATAGCTAACCCAAGTAACAAACCCACTACCACTCTAAATCAATTGAGGCTGTGTTCTGTTTGTGTGCAGTCAAGACAATAGGGAAAAATATTACACCTCATTGTGACGACAATTTGGTCTAAGCCCGACCCTGATCACATTCTAGCTCTAATGATGTTATTGGCTGAACACAACTAGTTGGATCTCAGATATGTTTTCCTGGTTGTGATTCTGACTTTGTGGAGCTGCTGTTGAAGCTTAAGTTTGACTTGTCTCTGAGAGACTGTCAGGAATGTTGATCCCTTTGACAGCTAACAAAACTGGCTCTAGCAGCTTTGCGGCCAGTAAGTGACACACCATGATATTTTATAGTCCATTTACAAAGAAATTCATTTGCATCCTTTATTAGACAAGCTTTTTCCTTTACTCGGTGCTGTTATAGCTCAAGGGTTGTACCGCCATTCTTCCAACGCTGTCAGGAAAAACACGGTATTTGTTCTAACTGCAAAGAGTGATTTCTGTCCCTGACTTTTGTCTGAGCGCCTCACCATCAGTATGAAAATCTGTTTCACCTCATGGAGAATTTACAGGATACAAGTTCTCAGACAAAAAATTTTCTACAATCTCTTTCTGTTTCTGGAAGTTACTGCCAAACCAGTTTACCATACAGAAAAGCCACATACCAGACATTGCATAAACACACACACATACACACTAAAAATACACACGGAGCACAATTTTTTTTAGATTTCCTTGTTGGATGTTGTTTGTTGCTGATTTACAGTCAGAAGGTCACAGCTAGATTTGGGAGGTGTCTGGCAAATTTCCTTCGACGTAGCTCACCTTAAACTCAGTCTAGTTTGATTCAAATGTACAGACTTAGGTTTGTTTCTGGTGTTGGCTGAGTGAGAACATTTCCTTAAAAACAAATAGGGTGTGGAGCAAACAAGCTTTTTCAAAATGAAAAACAAAAGACAAACCCTCAGACAACATGGACGTGTTGGAGGTTGGAAAGGACTGACAGGAACTTTACTCTCTACATAGGGGTTCCAGAGAAGTTTTTTAACTTTTTCCTCCACAATGCCCCAGAGTGCCTTGAAAAGATGGGGTGCCCATCTTTTCACACACCCTGTTAAAGTGAAAATTTGGGATCTTAAACCCAACTTGCTGCCCTCTCTTCTATATATTTGTAATGGGGCTTGAGATTCTTTAACTTATGAGTTTACTGGCATCTCAGACTCGGTGTGCCGGTAAAAATCTATTCACACATGAAAGTTGTTCATGTGAGCATACCAACCAAACAGAATGTGATGGATTGGGCGTGAAACCTGGCTCATGATTCTGTGTGCAGTGAAAAGAGCACTTCTTCAAACTGGGCTCGGACCTGCTGTGAGATAACATGATTACACACAGTAATTAAATCACTGATTCATGGAAGTTGGTATCTGTGGTAAAAATGTTACTTTCCTATATTTAATTTGTAATTTCAAACCTCTGTCACAGCCTTTTTTCAGGAACATCAGAAATGACACAGGACATTCACAGCACAACAGATAAAATCACCAGTAATGAAAACTGGAGCATTGCTTTTGTAAAAAGCTATAGACAAAAGGTTCTGTCCTTGAGAGATTGCTGTTTGTGCGTCAACGATAAACATGTTCCCTGCGAGAACATGTAGATTCAGATTACTACATGTAATGTCAAAATGACCAGAAAGTCAACGCTGTCTAAATATCCCTGCTAAAGAAAAGCTAAAAGGTCTTCCGATATTAGATCTTTTAGTCCTCTAAAAGTGTTTTTTTTCTTTTTCTTTTACTGATGTGACCTTTGCATTGACTAACTTTGCTATGAAGTGATCTCACTATGAACCACTGAAGCACATGGACACTGAAACAGCAGTATTTAATAGATATTATTTTCATCCAAATGATCATAAAGTAATCAAGGATTTTACCTGAGGTACAAATTAAGCTGTTGTTTCTTTCATTTTTTGTTAAGCATTTCTGTGATGTCAAAGCATTTATGCCTAAAATCAGTACAATGAAATTTTATATAAATCCATGGCATTTGTTTAAATGTGGCAAAAACTGTTTTTATTTTCATACAAACTTTGTTAAACATATATGATGCTCTAGAATTACGTTGTGGCATAGTGTAAGGGATCTTTATGATGTATCAATCAAGGTAAATTACAGAACTGTATTCAAAGTGAAGGCATTCAGGTGATTAGAGGGAGGGAGCGAGGGGGAGGGAGGGAGGACTGGGAGGGAGGAGAGAGTCTGAGTATAAAAGGCTGCCACTTCCCAGCTAAACTCAGACACCCAACAAGTTTCTTCTCTCCAAATTGTATATCCTGTTGGCCTGTTGAAAAACAGCAAGATGCTCCATCGGTGAGTGAATGCATCATAATTCTCCTATTAAATCATATGTACTTTTTTCACTTAACTTCTTTAATGTGATTTCAGTCTTCATAGCGAGTGAGGGAAATAAGTTCATTGTATGTCACATTAGCATCTAAAATGCCGGAGTCAAGTTCACATTTAACTCTTTCTTCCTGGAGACGTCTGGAGGTTTTGTCTGCTCTCTGTCTGTGGGACTCTGTTCACAGTCTCCTAATCTTTGATCAATTTGTGCTGTTGATGAAACCCGAAGAGGTCTTGTTGTTGGTTTTAGAGTGATTCCAAATGAACTCTTGGTAAAGCTTTCAGAATGTGTTATCTGAAAATTAGCTCTTCTGTTTAACTCTCATGACTCCTGTTACATTCTGTTAAAGTTCAGTTTTTGTCAGTGTTAAGGTTTAACTGTTGGCCCATCTGCCCCGGATAAAAGTTTCCAAACTAAGGCAGCTTTCTCACTGAAAGCTTTACTCCTGAAATGGACTTTAATGCACTTCCTTCTTTTTGAAGAGCTGCGCTGGTTTTATCTTGCATCTCTCTTCTCTCTATACATTGGAAAAGAAGAGAAGCTTTGTTGTTTTTTTTCCCCTCGCAAGGGAAAACACAAAGACACACAGTCATTTAACCCTTCAGGTTGAACGATGGTCTCACCCAGCTGGCACTGAACACACCTGAGATTTATCCACTGACAATTGTCCTTGTATGTTGATGGATTTCTGTTGTTTACTTTACCCTAGCATTGTTAGTTCTTTGAATGACATGTTGATGAACAGAAAAGAAAGTCCTTCTTCGCTGCTGAAGTTCGTCTTTGGTTTCATCTTCTTAAACATTTCTTACTTTTTATACAGACCTTTTAAAATGTAAATTTAAAAGCCATTCCTGTGACTTATTCAATGGATTCTATGTAAATTGTATTGGCACTGAGTCGAAAGTCAATATGTAGAGATGGAAATATTCAACTCCTTTTCACTTGCTGTTCAGCTTGACTACAAATGAAAACAGCATTCAAAGCTGCATTCAAATCAACCAGGCCACTGTCCTAATGTTTTAATGCGTGTTTGTGTTTCTATTGTTTGTTTCTAGGTGTGTTGTGCTGCTTCTCCTTGCTCTTGCAGCAGTTGCTCTCTCTGCTCCTGTTGACAGTAAGCAGTGACATCATCTTAAACACTCACAAATTGCTCTTTTATTGACTATTGAGTGTTAGATATTCACTAAGGAATGTCATTAGTGTAAATACTGAGAAAAGAACAAAAAAAACATATATTTGTAACACTATATAATTATATATGTAAACTCATGTACATTATTTGTAACTTATCAAATTATAATAGAATATTTCTGTCAGAGAGAAACACTTTTAATTGAGTACATTTTACTTTTTTGTCTTACAGATAAAAAAACTGATGATGGTAAATATCACCTTTTATTTATGCATCTCCCTACTTTTCATTTGTATGACATTGTAACCCTTGTTGTAACTGAGGAAAGGTAGCAGCCAATCAGAGAAAAGAACTACACTGACGTCACTTTAGATCTGCTACAATTTGTAGTCAGCACCCCCAACAGGCTGTAGAGGTCACTACAGACATGAGTCCCACTTATGTCAAAGTCCCATGTCTATTGCAAAATGAAAACGATAAATGTGTTTCTTTCCTCTGTCACAGAGAGAAGTGCTGCGCTGCTGAAACACCTGAACGGTAACAGACACACAATCTCACAAAGATCGTCACCCTGAAAACTCCATGAAGTTATTGTTGATCTTAATGTTGCGCTTTCTGTGTTTCAGGAGGAAGTACAGGTGCACCTGCAACAGCAGCACCAGGTAACATACACAGTACATACCACACAAAAGAGTCATTTATGTACACAAGCCCCATCAATTCATTATCCACAAGAATTCAATGACTGACTAAACATTAACCTGCCCATTACCCTGTGTACCAGTCCCTCTGAGTCATGCCCACCTGTTTACTTTTCTTTATTCTATTCTCTGTGTATTTTTTACCTGATCGTGCGTTTCCCTGTTTTGACGACAAAATGTCGACTGAATCCTTCTTTGAACTATTTTAGCTTCAGATGACAGCGCTGGAAGTGAATCAGATGCAGACCAACCTGAAGGTGATGAAGATTTTTTGAAGAAGTGGAAATTTACACACAAAAAATTTATTACAGACTTGAAAACAGCTCATAACTCTCTCAACAATGTACAGATAATGTATTAAGCAACAGAATAGTATCTAAAACTTTTTTTTAAAGCAATTCTGAGGGATGACTTAGTCTAATTGTTGCAAACATGAGATATTATTTTATACATAAAAAAGGTTAAGCACTAGTTGTTCGACCATTATGATATTAGCCATTTTGGCCAACAAACACGATTATAGTTCTCATTGATAGTAGCACTGCACAACAGGCACAATGTGGCACATCATATTAACACTAACATTTCCATAGATCCTACAGATGAGAGCACTGGCTCAGTTGAAGGAACTGAAGGTAACTTTTTCTGTCATTCAGTTACATGCATGTCCACCTATGTGATCACCGGCCTGCTCACCTGTCGTTTTGTTTGCCTCTGTGTGTTTCAGCTCCCATTGACTCAGATGAGGCAACTGATTCACCAGGTCGGTGCAAGTCAGACACTGAATAGATTAGTTTACCTCTCCCTTCTAAATGTTTCTCTTTTGTACATATGCCAATGATTTTGTTTCAAATTTTGTTTTTGTCTTTAACAGACAGTGAAGGAGACATTTCCATGGAGGATGAACTTGAGGGTAAGACACACATTTGGTTTCCAGTCTGAATATGCTTGTTTTGTTTTCAGAGACAATCACTAACAGGATCCAACTGAGCCTGACTTTACTAATGCATCCTATTTTCATTAGCAATCATGTCATTCTGTGAAGTTAGAGAGGAATCAGTAAAGAATTTATTGAATTGAGTATTATCCAAAACGCGCTCACCTGTTTGTATGAGATCTCACTATAGTTGAAAACAAATAAGCCACTAATCCAACCATGACTGCACAACCAGCATGAACAGACACCTGATGAAACTATGTTGATATCTCATTTGATTTCACAGAAGACAGCGAGGACTCTGTTGAGCCAACTGAAGGTAATCTTCCACTCAAGTCTCTGTGCATTTACCTTTCCTTTGAGTTCAAGAGTTGAACCACCTGTTTACTGCTCACCTGTTGACACGTTTCCCTGTATGTGTGACTCAGGTATTCCAGATTCAGATGAAACAGCTGAAGAGGAAGGTCAGTCCAAGACTGAAGTTTAATGATGTATTTTGTATTCCTCAAGATTTATACCAGTTCAGCAATAATGACTGTAATCTTTCAATCTTTCAGATGATTCAGATGACAGTGAGGGAAAAAATTCAAAAGATGACTCTGAAGGTGAGATATGGGTTTGCCTAATGTCTGCTATGTTACTTTATACCCACAGTCCCAAAATACGAACTCATAGAATGTTAAATATCAACTATGAACATCCAACAACTTTAAAACATAAAAACATTTTCAAAATGTTTTATTTTTAGAAAATATGCTGTGTGTGCGAGCTCTTGCTATCAAAAGCTAAGGACTAAAGCAATCATTACCGCAACTGCCCAGCAGCCAGAAAGGGATGCATTTCTTAATTTCATGTATTTATTGATGAATTTCTTTGAATTTCAGAGGATAACCAAGATTCTACTGAAGCACCTAAAGGTAACCTGTTTGTTCACATGTGATCCAAGATGGATATTTCCCTGTCAACTTACCAAACATAAAATTTACTTTTGCGTGGTTTTCAGAAGAGTCAGAGGAGCAAACTGAGGAGCAAACTGAGAAACCAGGTCAGTGAGAGTCTGAAGCTCAAATAGGTTTATTTTCCTGTTTTCAATCTGAACGAACATCACTTTAGAGCAACACTTGTGTCTTTGATTTTACATTATATATAAACATACTTAAGAGTTGTGTTTTTTCATTTAGCTGCTTCTGATGAGAGCAGTCCAAGAAGTGTGAAGACAGATGAGCCTGAAGGTGAGATTAAGACTGATTGATTCACGGTTGTTTGTTTGGAAATGGACATGTCCTAAACAGGTCCACTTTGAGCTGAGACCCCAAAAAAACACTTGGGAACCAGAAATGTCAACAATAAGACATAAATAAGTGAGGTCAAACCACACAAATCAACAGATTTGATTTGATTCCATGTTTTCAAAATGAATACACAGTATCTTTATTAAATCTAGTTGGCTCAATTTTAAAACAACAACTGAATCAGTTAAAACACTGATAATGTTCTCAGGACATTAGTAGTATAATAACACTCCAGTGTCTCCAGTTTAACGAAACAACCACAGCTACCATAATTAAATAGCAATAATAACATGTTTATTTGATTCCACAGATGACAATGAAGACTTGGAGGAGGAAACTGATGGTAAAACGACTTTCCGTATTTCTATATATTTCCTGCACAATGCTTCCTTTTTGTAATGGAAAAACCCTCACAGTGAGACAGTGAGACAAGAACACGTCACCACTTAAACTTTCCTTGTAGGCTTGGGAGTGGCTTTATGCAACATGAACAGTAATACACAAAATATTTTTTTTTTATTTATGTGATCAATTTTGCCATCACAGTTTTTGCTGACGTTATAACTGAAGCAGTTGGCCGTCAGTTTTGATTTATTTCTGGAAGGAACTCAGCTTCCCTTGCTTTACTAGTAAATTCAGAGTGGAACTTGTATTTACACAATAAGTCCCATTACATTGTTCTTCCTGATCAAAGAACTTTTAGTTCAAGTATTCAAGCAGTATTCAACCTTCAGTTCTGGTTGACTGCTGCCTTGGACTGTAAAAACAAAAGAGCATCACTTACCTGCATGACCTGTTTGTTTCTATAAATGCTGCTACAGCCATGACAGTAATCCGTCACGTACTGTTTCCTTCTTCCGTCTTCTCTTCAATGCATTTAACAAAAAATGTCAAGAAAATCTGATAATTGGAGGAGGAATAAGGAAGTTGAATTCCTAAGCATACAAAGGAATTTTTCAAGTCACAATGCAGAATCTAAATAGCTTGTTTACAAGGAATTTCTGAATATTCTATAGTAAACTTTTCCAGCTGTGTTTCATGCATAATGTGTCTAAAATGGCATAGAAGAGCAATGTTTTTGAAAAAATTGAATCTAAGAAAAGGAGCGTCATCCAGCCCAGAAATAGTTTCACTCTGATAGGGCACGAACTTCCTGGTGCTTTTTTAAACCTTTCATTTCCTTAACCCAAGTGAAGTCTTACTAGATGTACTGGTACAACCACTTTAGTCCTACCACAAAAATGCATTGGTAATAAATAAACTTATTCTAAAGAATGGTCATATTATAGTTCTTTAAGTTTCCCTGTAATGGTGATATTAATCTGTGCTGTGTTGGCCTGGGGCTCTGTCACTGCAGATCTAACCACCGAGGAGTCGGATGATGAGGATGATAAAGATGATGCCGATGATGACGATGATGAAACTGAGGTTGAAGAAGATGGTAAATATACTAACTATTAATCTTGTGCAGAAAATTACATAACAGACCATACACAGTACTGCTGAGAGTGGTTCACATGAACACTTTTGGGTTAAACACACATGACAAAAATATTCAGATTATTACTATTCACTTTGAATCAATATTAGTAGAACACCTGCATAACAGCAGTTTGTAGTGTGCTGAATAGCTGACATAGTTATTAAAACTTCCATAGAAAGTATTTAATTTAATATTTGTTGAAGGTCCAACAAAGTAATTTCTTTACCTGCTCTTGGATAGAAGAACTCCAGAATAACACTCTTTTTTTCCCCAGTGTATTGATTATCAATGTTAATGTTAATATTAATACACAAACCTGGATGTGTCCTTCACATCAAAATAATTCAATTGTTCAACCGTTCTTTTGATCTGTTCTGTGTTTGCAGACGATGAGAACGAAGATTCCGATGACAAGACTGACAGCAGTAAGTGCACTCAATAACAAGATGCTTAATGCCAGAACACGGAGAGTGTTGCAGAGAGCTGGTGGATCAAAAAAATTAGTTCAGCAGAAAAATGAGTGATTAGACTGACATGTTAAAAGAATGAAACTGCTGATTCTGGTGAATTCTGCTACCAAAAGTTCTCCAGCAACTGCACAAATAACCAGCATGTTACACATCTACGAAGAAAATTCTCCTGTTTTCATTTCAGCTCCTTCAGAACCAGCAAAGACACCTGCGGCTCAAGGTCAGTGTGTGTGTGTGTGTATTCAAATCCAATCTGAAGGACTCATGGCAACCTTAGACTGAATGTTTATCCCTGTTTATCGTTTAGTAGAAGCACAGTTCTGTCTAAGTTTAGTGAAGTGCAAAGCTGTCACGTGGTGTGATCAGGAGCCCTTCTCTAACCAAAAATCATTCATCTGAGTTCTTTTTGGCTGATGTGTTTGTGTTTGCAGATTAAAAAAAAAAGTTTCAGATAGACTTACAGCAGTAAAGGCATTCATTAACAAGGAGCTTGACACCTGAACAGGGAGAGTATTGCAGTGAGCTGGTGGATCAAAAAACATTAATTCAGTCGAAAAATGAGTGAGAAGACTTATCCAAAATGTTAAAACAAAGGAACTGCTCAAAACCTATGGACAGAACATAATATTTCACTGCTGTTAGAAATGTAGTACATCTATTGCTTGTGCTAGTCATATCAGTCATAATAAATGTCTCATTCTGTTGAATTCTTCTAACAAAACTGCCATGCACCCCACAGCAATAACAGAAACAACCAATATGTTAAACATTTAAGAAGAAAATTCTCCTGTTTTTGTTTCAGCTTCTTCAGATGCAGCAAAGACACCTGCAGCTCAAGGTCAGTGTGCATGTCTGTGTCTTCTTTATTGCAGACTTTAGCGTCTCTGACGTGAGGAATAGACCAAGACAAGTGCGTGAAACCATATCAAATCAGGGATCAAATCAGATCGTTCTTTCATCCTGATAGGGTGACACTTGTTACATTGCTTTAAAAATGATAGGCTTTGATTGTGTGAATTTCGTTAGTGGTCGGTTTAGACTTTGTGTGCACAAAAAGCTCAGTTTTAACATGTCAACTGCACCACGGTTCCTAAGCCTCAGTGGATTTGAACTATACTGCTTTCTTTTTGCAGAGGAGGATGACAACGATGATGAAAAAGACAGTGGTAAATACATTCAACATCCATCCGATTCAGACAGGCAGAGCCAGAGAACAGAGGAAGGAAGGACCATTACAACAGCACACTGATATCACCAAAGAGGAACATGAGATTTATAGAAAAGTTGGTTAAAGAAAACTTCATGGAGAAAAAGGATTTGTTTAAAATAACTCTCAAGTCACTGATATTAGTGCTACAAAGGTTGAATGAAAATATGACAAAAAATGCAGCTGATCCATCTGTGAACTACAAGTGGGAGTGGGTCCTAATAACTAAAATGTACTCAGAAGAAGGAAAAAGTTGAGGCACGTGTCACATTTTTTCCCACAGCATTCAGTTGCTTGTGAGTACTGCCACAGAAAAAAAGTCAGTTTGACTCAATTGTACCCATCAGAAATTGTCTGAATGGAGCTGTACAGATGAGCAAGGTGAAACATCTGAACATATTGTGGTATAGCTCCAAGTGATGATGCTATGGAGCAAGTCAGGAGACCCTAAACCCTAAAGTAAAAAGTATTTGGGTGAATTACATCACTTTTTTGTTGTTTTGTTGTTTTTTTTTTTTTTACAAGAGCCTGTTTGGAGGTAATTGATTTCTGTGCCACATCTTGATCCACAGATACTCAGACTGCGGAGGTAACAGGTGATGACACCGTTCAGGAGGATGAGGATGATGTGGTGACAGCTGGAACAAAGGAGGAAGATGACAAGGACGATGAGGAAGAAGACGACAACAGCTCACTTAAAGAGGAGGGAGACGCCGTAGGGAGCCAGGAATCTCAAGAGAAATCAAATTCCCAGGAGGCCAAAACAAGTGTTTCAATGGAGGCTAAAACAGAGGAGGCTGGTGAGAAGGACGAAGACGAAGAGGAGATGAGCGAAGAGGAAGAAGTCAAGATCGAAGAGGATGATCCTTCTGATGAAGATGACAGTGAGGTCAAAGAAGACAGTGAGGAGGGCTCTGATGAAAAGGCAGACTCCAAGGTCAGTGAGGAAGAGGAGGAGGTTGAGGAGGACATGACAGAGGAAACTGAGGAACCCGAGGAGGAGAATCCCGATTCGTCTGACTCTGTTGAAGGTAAAAATGTCAGCTGTTCACAAATTCAGATATGAAGAGTTAAAAATACGTGTTATTTTCCCTCAGGAATAAAGATAAAGTAAAAAGAAAATATAAAGTTATCACAACTTTTATCTATTTTCAATTATAATAATATCAATAGGATTACAACTTCATCACCTTCACATGAAAATAGCCAAATCCTAGCCAGTGGCTAAATTGTGCCAGCTTTTTCCACGTTATCTCCACTTTGTGAGAAACTTCCTTCAAGGTTAAAGGTCAAAATCAAAGAAAAGTTCATTTTAAATGAAAATGAACACGTCCAAGAAGATGTTGCCTGCATGAAAACTTATCCTTGTGAGTCGTGTCCTGTTGCAGCCACACCGGCTGACGAGACCGTGGAGGACATGCAGCCTGACTCCACTACCGTCGCCTGAAACGGTAACATTCTCCTCCTAGTGGATCGAGTTTGGCATGGGAATTGGTTAATAGCATTGTCCTGTGATGCAGCACAATTAAATATTCTCAGAAAATTTACCTACAAAAGATTCAAACAATCAAAAGTTAGATGTTTTGAATGTTTCTTTTCCTCCTTCAGACAGTTGGACGCTCAGCCTCTGAAGTGTGGAAGCTCACCAACGTCAGGTATCAGTACACGCCGTTTCAGTTTTTATGAATAAACTACGTTTAATCTGGGCTGCAATGACTGACTATCGAGATTTATGGGAAAAAAAATGCTTAGAAATATACTTATGCAGTCAGGCTTTACATTAAATCTCAGCTTTTTCTTTACAAAAGTAAAATATTAGTCATTTTGAATCATTCGGAAGGTAAATTAGCTATAGATTTGGTCCTTTGATGAGCATACAAGTCTCATTGTGCAACATTATCAACTTACCTGTGCTTTTTGTCATTTCCCTACAGAACCAAGAACCCACGGCCTCCACAGAGGAACATGTTGCCATGACAACAAGCTACGGCTAAACTTCAGCCTTCAGTTTCCTGTTTGTTTCTGTCGTTTTTTTTTTCCCAGCCTGCTCCTGATTTTTTGTCCATTTCTTCTTCAAATTGCTTTAGTTTTTTTCTTCCTGTCAGAGACCCAAAAGAAATGCGTCTCCCTCCGGTGTGCTGGCTCTGTCTTCCTGGTGTCTCCTTTAACCCGCTATCTGCCTCCGTGTCTGTCTGTGTGTGCAGAAACATTAAACCAGCTGCTGATCTCAGATGTGCTCTGTGTCTGATTCCACACCTTAACGTGTACATACAGTCCATCGTTTACTTTGCAGATATTAATGCTTATTTTTAAAAGGAAATAAGGGTTGAAAAGAGCTAATGATTGTACACAAAGAGCGGCAAATAAAGTTTGAATTGTCTGAAACACGCTGAGTCGTTATTTCAGTGTTAAGCATGTTTCTATGAGCTCATTTTAAACTGTCATTAGTTTATTATCAGGGAACATTCAACTAATTCAGGTATTTGGCTTGTGAAACATGAACTAGCTTCAATATGTGAAACTAAAATCTCTCAAATAAACATGTAGACATGAAGATGCATAAAAGAAACAAAGTTACTCATGTGACTGATGATTTAGATTTAATATTTGAGCTTAACGGGATGTTTGACTGGAGAGGGAGGTTATTGAATTTATAATGGGGATAACCTGTTCGATGTGGCATCGGTACAAAAGAGTCTCTGTAACATCTCTGACTTGCATAGTTAATACGTTCATAGAGATATCATTACATTTTTTTTCTAATTGCAGATCAAATGTCACCTTCAATAATAATGAGACGAAGAAATAGAGCCTGTGTTTTTCTGCTGCAGTTGTCGTTCACAAATATTATTTGATTTTAGTTTTAACCTTCAAAAATTGTATAAATTTATAAATTGAATTTTCAAAGTACAAAAAAGCAGATCTTAGTGACTGTGGTGAGGTAATCAAACATCACGATTACAGTCTCAAAACTGAGTTGTTTTGCAAACAAAAAATGAATTCAACAATTATTTTTGATCAGTTAATAAAGGTTTCATGATAGCACACGAAGGTTGAAAGAGAATACCTACTAGAGCAAAGAAAGCAAAAACAGCAACAGTGTGAACAACACTTGGAACTAAGATTTGTATGAAGTCAAGTTTGCAGTGCTCCACAAAGAAAAATTATGCAAAAACAGCAACAATGAAAACAAAAACACAAATGACAGAGGATGGTCATTTGAGAGGAAAACGATCCTTTAAATGGAACACAAGAATCCCAAAAAGAAAATGTCTTTCTAAATGTTTCAAACATTGACCGACAAACGAACATTTTGCGCGTCATTTCCTCATTTACAGTAAGCCTCTTCCATCAAAACTCCAGTTTATCTGTCAGCTGCCGCCCATTTCGTAGAAAAGGGCCGGTCGGACCAGATTCCTGATGTTCAGGTTTTCCAGTCAGCTGCGGCTCGTCCGCATTCCACTGCCCCAGAGGCCCATCTAACTCAGCCAAGCGTACACGCTGTTCCACCGGAACAGTAAAATACATCTTATAACATCAGTCAAGTTCACGCCCATTTCTCAACTTTTGGCCACTTATTTCAGCTCTTCTGTCACTGTAGATTTATTCTATATCTTACTTCCTCTTGTTTTTGAGTAGTTTCTGCTCCTGATTTTTAAATGTTTTTCCTGGTTCCGTCAAACCAGTTTTTTTCCCCTAATATCCATTTGTATACATAATACGTTTTTAACCAGCATTTTCACATTTGCAGCATCCATTTTATTATTGATACGATTTTGTGGCCTGTGTACGTTTTAACTTAGCGAGGGCAGATCACCTGAAGCTGATAACAGGTGTGTAAAAGTTGGAGGAGTCGGGTTACTGGGTGCCACGGGTTGACGGTGTGGAAGACTGATTTCTGAGATGGGGAGGATGAAGTTTCCTTAAGTAGATGAATGAAAACTGGCCTGCTGGTCCACAGAGGTTAACTGATTCACAAGTGCGCACACACACTATAGAAGAAGGGGTAGAGGGGTGCTTCCTGCCAGATAAAGGGCGTTTGTTTCAGAAAGATTCCTGATTGGTTAATGGGGTCGTGACCGAGGCCAATAACGGGGGGCAGCTCACCGGAGCCTGACGTATAACTGTGTGTGTGTGAGTGGATTTGTGTGCGATGTAAAATAAAACTTTGTCCTGGAGAGTTTCACACAGAAACAGGCGATAGTTCGATATCTGTGAGAAGAGATTTACCTTTACATAAGACACGCATGCTGAAGCAAAAGGAGAAGGACTTTGTGTTCGGCTGATTTTCTGCAGTAGACCTACAAAAAAATAATTTTCCACTGAGGAAGGTACACAACCAGAAGCCGGCGCTCCACTTTTGTCCAATTATGTCACTGTTCCCTCTAATTAAATTGTCTTCACTTTCATGTTGAAGTGCTCCTAGGTTGTTTTTTTATGTTTCGGTTTATCGTTTTAGCTAATATTGCTTACACTTTTAGTGAAATAGAGGATATTTATCGGCTGTTTGTTTCTACATATGCGCTCAGTCCTCGCCTCTCAGCTGTCCCACAGCTCTTGGTTACAGTCAGACATCAGGATCAAAGGTCCAGGTGAGCTCCGGTCATTCAGAGCCAAGCTGGACCAGAGCACCATACCGTAAGGTGCCCTTAATTCCTCTTCTGGACCTGATCCCAGAGTCCAACCTGGCTCCAGCTTGGTTCTGGTTTCAGGACTTCCCGTAGCAGGTTGATGCAAACTCATGTTCTGCCCTGATTCCCACAGGTATGAAGAAACTCCCTTCAAAATGAGGCCACAGAAACTCAGAAACAAGAAAAAATGTTTTTTCTCTTTTTGTAACTTTGTGATTGCAGATGAACAGTTTTTGACCATTTGATCATACTGCCAAATATGGCATTGTCAAACTTTATAACAACCCGAACTGCCAGATCAGCTGCCAGTTTAACGGATATTGTGTAATGTTTCAGGTGTATGCAGCATCTGAGAGGTCACATCTGTGTTCACGGCACACAATTATATCTGTTGTCTGTCAGTTTCTTTGTCCACCAGGTGGGAGTAGTTTTCATTGTTTGTATTTCTAATGATTTGATTTCTACTTATTTTTTTTACTTAAAAAATGTGGGAACAGAGACAATTACAGTGGTGATATGTTGCTGCTTTTCTGTTATTGGGTCTGACATAACGTGTGTTTCATTTTCTGATCAACAGCTAAAAAAATCTACGCGGGAAATATTTTCAAAGGGGAAAGCAAAGACTGTAGGGGGTGGGGTAGGTTAGGAGTCTATGGATGTAGTTTCAAGGAATGTTGGCAGTATTTTTTTTGGAGCTCTCCATCACCTCAATAAAGCATCCTTTCTATACATCCTTTAAGCCTGAGTACACACAGTAACAAAAGAGCTGTGGCTCTGAAGGTTCACATAGGTGAAACTCAAGTAAAAAGCTTGAAACAAACTGCCCCTTTTCCTCATGAAACCAAATCTGCTTCATATTCATTTGAGAACAAAATCCATCTGATTCTCCTCTGCTTCATCGCTGTTGTTTAAACTGCATTTGACCGCTGACTAAATTTGTGCAGCTGAGTTTCTCTGAATTTCTTCACCGCTTTCAACACTCGGGTGTATCTCACACAATTTCATTTAAGTAAATGTGTTTATAAGAGGCATTAAGATGGAAACCATGAAAACATTTCTGTTGTCGTGAAAGAAATGGCCATCAGGTTTCTTTGAGACACTGTTGGTCCATTCAACCAACAAACAAAGATGAAATTAAACCGCCCGCTCTCAGTTCCAGCTCTTTTCATGATGACTCCTGGTCAGGTCAGAAGCACACTGTGTACAACCAGAGAGTCGCTGTCAGGCATGCTGGCGCATCTGGCCGTGTAAGGAATCAGATGTGGGATGGATCGCAACGGCAATGAGAGAAAAAGCTTTGTCTAGCTTTTAGGAATGAAATATATTTCACTTCATTGCATAAGCTCTAACCTTGATCTTTAATCTTAACCAAGTATTTTCGTGCATATCAAATGAGTACAGTAGTCAAGCATGTGATAATTAAATGATAATTAAAACAGTGAAAGGAAGCAAACAATGGTTTCAAGTTTGGAGCACCAGTCCCTTGACTGGGAGTCAGGTGTCTATCCTTCTCCCTTTCATCTTCCTTGTCCAGTCTATGTACCTTTTCAGTATGTCTAACAATACAGAATAGTATCTTTTGTGCGTCCGTATCGTTCACTGTTGGTGCATGTTGTGTCCCTCACTGCTGCTAATAGACAACTGGAAAAATGCAGCTACAGGGAGGCTTTCTGTGCATTGAAAGTTGACACAAGGGATTCTTAATAGAGTGTGAGTATATTAGGAGATGGAAACAAAAACTTGCTGACAGAAAACAGCAGTGACAGCAGTACCTGCACATTGGTGAGCTGGAGTGAGGGCAGATGTCAGGTGCCCCCTCCCCTCCTATAGGACAGAAACTAAAAAGCTGTTGTAATTTTTTATAGTGAGCACCTACTTACAAAGTCTACAAGGTGGTGCCAATTTGAAATATTCCTCTGCTTGAACACACCAGATTCACCTCAGTGCACCATCAGCAAACGTGTGCAGTACTTAATCTGGATCAGGTGTGTTCAAGCAGGGAACCATCTAAAGGGAAGACCCAGTTATGTGGTAGATTAAAGTAGAATGCCAGAACCAAAATCTAAACAATTTCCTTACATATGTGTGCAGGAGGAAGTGGATGTAGCTGGAGTCTAATGAAGGACTTCAATGTGTTACAAATAGTAGTTTCAAGATGTAACCCGATGCACAGATTGTTTTGTTTGGTTGTTCAAAATTTGCTGTCGGACACACAGCAAATTAAATTGTTTGGTTTAATGGATGCACAGAAGGTGATCAAATCGAAATGCACCTGGTTTGTGAAAGCCGTGATATTTAAGATATCCAACTCACCTCATTGTTAGATGATTTTTCTGTTGTTCAAAATTAAGTCATGCTATGACAGCACGTCTACTCTTTATGTGGATCTCTTTTTTTCTCTCTTTCTTCTAAATTTGGCTCATGGAAATGAAAGGAAATATTCAATGTCCATCTGTGGAAAAAGAGAAAAGGGAACATCGCAGGCCTCCCGCGGTCTTGGAGTTCCATGTATCTTGCCCTCTTGTATCTGGCAACAGATTGACAAAGTTTCATGTTTCAGCAATAATACGAGTCTGTTTTTTTTCCACCAAGAAGGTAATTATAAATGAAACCTGATCAGTTTAAGAGGAGGGCCTGGCAGAAAGCAGAGGGGGGGGGGGCAGGGGATGCGATGCGGACCTGCAGTTTACTGTAGGAATGAAATCTCTGGAGGACAATGTAAAGCTACACGCTGTGACTATTGTATGCATTTGAAT